ATATATATATATATATGTATGTGGGGGGGGGCTAGATGAAAGTGCGGAATCGCGCCGAATGACAAACCAAACAGACCATTGCACCTGCAGAGTGTGGCACTCAGAATCGCATGCAGCCCTCTTTGAAGGCCCTAACTTCCTTGAAGATCAGATTGTGCAGAGCCACGGAATGCAAAGTACCGGATCAATATCTCGAAGGAAGTCCTCAGCCGGCAAAGGCAAAGCACGGAGGAGCGGCGTAAGATCCTTTGGGAATCACAGCTTCAGCCAGGATTCAAATGTCAGGGAATGTGCATGAAACAATCTCCACAAGCGATCTACACCCTCGAAAGCCCCCTCCCCAAGCTGCAACAACAAAAGGTTCGGACTGTTGGGGCATGTTGGGCTTTCCGGATGTGTCCACGAGCTAAGCGGTGTCAGTTCTCCAACACCGTGCGTCGACCCGTCATTGCATTTTCGCGGCGGCGGGCGGACTCATTTTCGCATTGCAAGCCGAGCCACGCGGCATGGCCCCAAAGAACCCTCAGTGTGACAGTGCAAAGTCCGCGCAAAGTTGCAAATTCATGTTCATGTCTAATGTAGGATGAGTCCTGTGACAAAAAAATATGCCACACCTGTCGGATCTGGTGCAACTACGGGCCTACCTTCAAACTTGCCGAAGCTTCACCCACCCGTTTTCCCACAAGAGAATCCTTGTGCCGTTTAGAAGCCAAGGACAAACTAATTCCAGGTCCTGTCTCAAAGCCCAACCTTCTTGATCAGGCAGCTTTGTGAGGGCTTCTGCCTTGATGACCAAAAACTGTGCGGGCTCCATCCTTGCCGGAGGCAATGCGGATGGCCGGTTTGCAGTGCGGTGCTTTGCTCTTGACTTGAATGTCCGGGTTCGCAAGGCTTGAGGCTTTAGGTCCAGGTCCAGCCAAATCGAGACTCCCGGATTCTCAGATGCCTCGTAGCATGCGCAGGTCTTTGGTCGGATGATCGCTGAAGTGCACGTCGCTATAACACGGCCATACCAATACCGTCCACCTTCTGACTGTGTTTAGTATGGAGTACAGCAGAAAGCCTTTGCCTCTCCCAGCCTTCTGCTTGCACGCTGGGTTGGGACGGCCCGACACGCAACAAAGTGCTAGAAACACAGTGCTGGCAGCGCACTGTGGGCCTCCGCACAAGCACAGGCAAGCCTGCTCCAAGCTGCTGCAAGAAAGAGGCCGCAAAGCTAAAAATGTGTTGGTGCTCGGAGCTTCAAGCATGGTCAACCAAGTATCAAAGTCGCATAGACCACAGAACTCGGTGACATCTTCATGACCTCAAGCTAGCATAGTCGACATCAACTCTACAGTTGCATAGCAATCGAGCCTTACAGATTCATGGGCCGGAGGCTTGCGATGGCTTTGTAGCCGGCGTAGCCGGCTCTGCTCTGCGTGTCAAAGGCCGAGGCCGAGGCCCAACCGATGACGACACATCCGAAGGAGTGCCCGTGCCAGTGGGCCGCACGGTGGCCGTGCGCGGCAAGCATGTCCTCCGAAGTCTTTTCAACGACGTTCGAACTTTACCTTTTTAAGTATGCACTCGTATGGCCGCAGCTTCTCCAAGCGGGCTTGTAAGTACGTTTTGCGAGTGAACAACAGCTGCTGATCGTCGAGACGGAGTCAAAATCAAGACAATGGCGCACAACGCACAGGTGCATTCTTCTCCGGTGGAGAGATCCGAGGTTGTTTGCCCGGTATCGATCTAGATATGCTACCCAATTCATGACTTCCCCACAGCTAGCGTATCACCAGTGAGGGCCAGTGAACCGGTCTTTGTGTGGTCGGTCTTGGTGGCATGCGTGGATCAGGCCAGAACCTAGAAGTAAAATTCTAATCTGTTTATGTCGAAGTATCTAGCTGCTGCTTGTTGAAAGCAGCAGTCGGCAATCCTATCGATGGAAGAGAGTGAGCGACCAATAACGGAAACATCGATCTGAAGGCCCAGGGTGGTATGTTACACAGGTAATGACACACTTTCCAAAATCATCCGAAACGGCGCCTTTCACTTACTTTGTCCCAAGCAGACTCGGAGAACTGCACAAACTTGTATGCGTCTCCGCTTCCCTAAACGGAGGCCCTGAGAATCCCAAACCCCGGAACATAATCAGTCGAATCGACCTGGAGCTGTGCTACAACTTCACGCGCGGAGGGAACAGACTCCCAGGGCGCCATGGCCAGGAAAGGAAACCTCGCGATCTGCTCGGAATGTCTCGTGTTTTTCTTGCAATTTACCATTAACTTTGTTTCATCTGTGGTGTCGCGGCTCAATACCTGGAACCCACATCATGACACGGACTCGACTTGGGCAAAAGGGTTCCTCCAGCAAGGCTGTTGGGAGTTGTCGCACGAAGTTGGGTGTCTAGAGTTTCTTTCGGTTGAACGGTTGTCGTCGAATATACCAGTAGCTGCCGGTAGCTTCATCCGCCATCCTGAAACCTGCAAAACATAGCCACACGCCGAGGAGCTCTGGCACGAAAAGCTCGCCGCCTGAGAGCGACATGGGCTTGGTAGGCTTGATGCCGGGGCGGCTGGCTTTCCTGAAACGTTGGTGCAGGCTTCTTGGTTCTTACGTTGTCCACGTTACTTGTCAGCAGTAATTCGGGGCTCTCGACTCGGAAGTCGACCACCTCTGAGAGGCTGTGAGCATCACAGCAATGCACTGCAACATCTCCGGTCATTGAGGACTTAACTAAGCCAAAGGCTGTGTTGAAGAACTTAATTAAACCTCTGTGCAGGTGCGCCACTGTGCCGCTGGGACAAACGGTAGATGAACAGGAAATAGGGCACCTTTGCTCAACACTCATGGGCCCGGGTCTTGGAGGGGTGTTCGAGGAAGACCACAAGGCAGCATGCAACGGCAGTCTGAAAGCGGGGAAACACTGCACACACAAACACGTTACGACTCAACAACAAACAGACAGGCAGACCGTGACCAAGGGCGTGTTTGAGTGCCGTGGCTCCGAAGCTTTGAGGTATTTGATGCGACCAAATAGATCCATGATTTTCTCCCTGCTTTGAATCTGTTAGACATGGCTTTTTCCGTGGGGACCCCAAGCTGCTCCGAACCATCAAAGCCATCCACCTGCGGCACAAGGATACTTGCTGAGACTGCGGCCAGGCCCACTCCCAAGCCATGCACGAAGACCAAGGGCTCGCCCCTGTTGTCATCAATGCTACCAGCTAGCACCAAAATCCAGCACGCTCGCTCTCGCTCTCGCTCTCGCTCTCGCTCTCGCTCTCGCTCTCGCTCTCGCTCCCTCTTTCTTCTTCTCCCACGCGCGCTCTCTCTCTTTCTTTCGCCAGGGCTCTGGTGCAGGGGTTGCCCCCTACCCTTCGCGCATGTGCGCCCCCGCCTGTTGCGGGCGCCAAGAGCATTAGAAAACATGCACAAAGGATGGAAAGCTCGCGCAAAAAGGACAGAAGAAACACTCCGGATCACAATACAAAACTCGATTCAGTAACTCAGGCCAAGTACGAATCATCCAACGGTGCGAGTCTTCGCTACTGGGGTCCCGCCCCCGAGTCAGCATGAGGGCTTCACATTCGGCAAAAATGATCAGGAAAACCGGCAACAAGTAGAGCCTGTAGTAACAGCAGCATGCCATTGCAAACACGGGATCTGAGTTCTTTCAGAGGGTCATAGACAAGTCACAGATCCGAAGCATTGCTCGAACAGATACGGTCAAGGCACCTGATTCAAACACCGTAGACAACATGATTACGAAACGATTGCAACACTATTCAAGTCCCGAAACGATTGCCACACTATTCAAGCCCTCGACTTCGATAAATGCTGTTTCCACATGGGGGAAGGGGGTGCATTCCCTTCAAGGGCATGAAAAAAGAGGTCCGGTTCGTCGTTCGGGTTGAGCGGCGATTTTAACGAGGGCAGCACAACAACACACGCGTGGGACCGCTGCAGTAGAAGATCACAGTACAAACATCAACTACTTACACTAGTTCAGCTCGCCTGGCCCGCTTTGGGTTGAAAGTCCTACCCTACCCTCCACGCGCTGTTCTTTGTGTTTCCACTGCTGAGAGCCTCTCGGGCTGGCAGTCAAAGGGACATCGACAAACACCCGGAAAAACTTTGGGCTCACAGCTCTCGGCAGGGGTTTGCTCTTAGGGGTTGGTCCCCTTGGCACTCCATTCTGTGCCTCAGTTGCGCTCGTTGTATGCTCTCAGTCGTCCGCATCCCCGCTGCTGAGATCGTCGTCATCATTCGGGTCGAAAACCGCGTGCATGCGTCTGCGTCTGTGACTGCCTCCTCTGCTGAGCGCCACAAAGGTTCGTCTAGGCTGGGCAACGTCTCCCCGCTTGCGACGTTGGCTTTCCGAATGGCACGGTGCTGGCTTCCGACGCTGCATCCACTTCTCTTTGTGCGCCAGACTCCTAATGTCGGCATCAGCTTGCGTCGGGAGGGCGGAGTCATTGGCTAGGACGATGGGTGTTGCCCATAAGGCCGTGGTCCATACGAAAAGATGGTTGTGGGGTTCGTGCACAACCGCCGCCGTTAACGTTTGCTGGTCCAGGAAAGGTAGGACACGTTCTAGCAGTCGCTGGGCTTGTAGTATTTAATAGGGGGTAGACTCCCCTGGTTGGCATAGCTCGCCAGGCTTTGTCGTTGTCGACGTAGAGGAACTTGTTGAGCATCTGCCCCGTGGTCCACGTCCACGAAGTGGGCAGGTTGGGCACTGCCACTAGCTGCGTAAGTCTTCTCGTTTTAGGGGATGGGCTCCCCTTGTCCTGGTCGGCTGCAAACTTGGACTTTGTAGCACTGAGCCCTCCGTGATAGCCAGGTGAGCCCAGTCCAGCGATTGAAGGGCGTTGCGAACACTGTCTACCCCAGCTTCGGTGCCAGGGCTGTGGGGTCTCTCCCCCAGCGCGACATCATCGTTTTGGCATTCTTGAGCATGGCTTCGGCTCTCTGAATTCCTCGAGCGAGGTGTCGGCGAGGAAGTTCTGCGTGCATGTGCTCTATGGTCGCCTCCCCTTCAATGAAGGGGTTCTGTAGGAGGAAAACCACGGAAGTCGGGTCGAGGGCGGCCGTGCTTGTTGCCGTGATCCCCGGCTGGCGGCTGGTGGCGCGCCTTCTCCGTTCGCTTCGGCAAGAGTCTGCAATTTGTTGACATAGAAGCAGGCCTTGTACGCGATGTCGGTGACTCTTTCGCTCGGTTGGTGTAAAACTTGGAGCACATTCGCAACTGTATACTCCGCTATTGTAACGCTGCTGTTGAGGAAGGGCTCTCCCTCAGGTACTTTAGGTTCGGCTTCCGGTTGGGGTAGCTGAGGTGGCTGTCGAGGCACGTCATGTTCGGGCGGTCGCTGCGGTTGCTGTCGTTGCATCAGTGAGGAGGCAGCGCGCTGCCTGGTGGTAGCGCATGGAGTGCAGGAAGTTGCGAGAGGACTTGGACGAGGGAGCTTGGCTCCCTGGTTAGTTCACCCGAGCCCGGCCGGCTAGTCTCGGAGTCCAACATGATGGTAGCTGCTCTGGGTGGAAGAGGAGGTCGCGCTTTGGCTTGTGTCTGTGGCGGGACGGCTCGTGGCGGCGGCGGTTGTCGTGGTCGCTGTGAGGTTGAGGTTGTTGAGGTTGTTGTGGAGCAGTATTGGTCGTAGGCAAAATCGAAGTGGGCGTCGTAGTAGGGGCGTGCTCCAGTTGCCAGGTTGGGCATCATCTTGTCGCTGTTGTCGTGGTCGTCGTTGGGGTCGCTGTGTCGTCAATACCCCCAGCTGGGTACTGTTGAGAATCCCCTATAGCTGTCGAACATCATCAGCGAATTTGGCTCTCCTGACCCACCGCATATCCTCTCCTCTCCACTCAAGCCAACAAGTCATCCTTTTTGGTCCGAGGGATCTCCCCCTTCACATAGCTGGCGGGACTATCGTCGATGGTGACAGGCCAAAAGCGAGGGGTCCTGGCGAATCCAAGCTACTATTACAACCGCGGGCTCAATGTCGCTGCGGGGCGGGTGGCGAATATAGGAGCCATTAAGTGTGAGCATTACCCCTGTCGCGCAAAGGCAGTGTCGGCGGCAAAGTTGCAGGGGTCGCCCCCTCCAGCCAGCTCCGCCTGCCTGCATCATGGCCCGCGACAGTCCATCTAGGCCCGGCTCCAACATCCTGCGCGTAGCTGTCGAAGTCAACAAGCGGTGGTTTCGGAGGCGGTCCAGTGCCAGTGTTGCGAGGGGGTTCATGAGCCCGCGCTGGAGTCCTGCTGGTCTGTAGAGGCGGGTAGAAGATGTCGAGGTTGGTGAAAAAGGAGGTCCCCCTCGTCGTCGTTGTTATGGTTGACGTCGGCGTCTGGCGAAGTGCCCAATGCCCTGGCTGTCATGTCCTGAACATTCGTTGGAAGGGAATATCTCCTCTCAGGTACTCCGGCCTGTTGTCAATGTATTCCACCGGGTAGCTCCGTAGGCCATCTCCGACGATTTGTTGTTGGGTGGAGTTGCTGAGCTTATGGGCTTCGGCGGGTTCTCGCGGTGGTCCTCTGGCACGACGAAACGAAGTCGTCTGTGCCGGTTTAACCCCTTCCATAGTGACATCTGATCTGTAGAGGTGGCCCCCTGCTACCAGTCGGAGTCCTGCATCTTGTCGGCTGCTTGGCATTGATCATCTAGGGTGAACTGGCACGGGCTCCTGGTCTGCATGCCAGGTTGAAGTTGATGTGGTCCAGCATCGGCTGCTCGGCACTCGCGTCCAGCAACCAACCCCCTCGTCTTTCTGCGGAGCTTTTTGAGCGCGAGGCTTTCTCGGCACTTCAGGGAGCGGTTGGCCGGCTCAGTCATCGCCTTGCGTGGCCACTGCCGCGGTGTTCGTGCGCGGATCCGCTGATGTTGGAAAGGTTGCGTCAGCGATGGCATGGCAGTCGCCCCGCAATTGCCTGGCACTCCAAATGAACTGTGAAGAAAACAGGCTCATGGTCTGACCGCGGTTTATATCGGTAGGAGCCTCCCGTGGCCGCAGACACAGGGAGATCCCTGGTTGCAGCGTAATTATTCTTTTGATGGTACAATGGTGAAGATAAAGAGCAACACATAAGAACTTCAAGAACGGCGGATGCGGGCCGCACGACCATATAGTAATTAGATGTAATTAAAATATAAACATGAGTGGTGGTGGAGAAGATCAGAACAAATGCTCTTAAAATCCCACGTAGCAGCAGTGGAGTTACCTGTTAATCGTGACAAGAGGTCCTTGTTTTACACGTGTTGCGTACTTCAAGGCTACCACCACAGGCCCCGCCGCACAGCACTAATCGTGACAAGAAGTCCTTGTGTTACACGTGTTGCGTACTCCAATTCAGGCCAACCAAAGCCTCAGCTAAGGGTGGTGCAGAGCCCACCACAACAAAGAAACCCCCATTTACTAGAGTCCGAAATCAGTACGTGGGCGCCTGCCTGCGTAGAGCAACACAGAACACCATATAAATGTGCAAAACTGAATGACGTTGCAGGTCCCCCTGTTGGCTCGCCCAGGTGGGCTGTTGGAAGCATCAGTGAGGCAACACTGGTAACACTCACACATGCAGTGACGAATACGCTTTCGGAATCTTTCGGAAGTGTCTTTAAAACTAGGGTTTCTCGACTGCGCAGAGTGTTTGGCATCAAAAACAGTACCTGGAGCATCTTTTGATACACAAATTAATGCTCGAAACGCAAACGAGCGCATAGCGCCGCATACGGGCACATAATGCCGCATACCGACACAACCCAACCCGCAAAACGAGCGCATAAACCCGCCAATCGAGCGCATAAACGCGCAAACGGGCGCAAACATAATCTGAGCCAATTCGAGCGCAAATAAGTGTATCAAACGATGGTCCAGGTAAGAGTACGGGCCTCAGGCCCCTGTGCGGCAGTCAATGGTTCAGCGGCGCGGCGGCCCGGCAGGATTCGGGCTTGAGTGAGTAGGTGCATCTTCCCCACACCCCATGCAAACTTGCAGACACGAATTTGTGTTTTTAACACTGCTTCGGAAGGAAAAAGTCACAGGTCGTTACGCTCACTGAATCCTCGTCCCTCGTGTTGTTTCCGGCCATCATCCGCTGTCCCCCGGCTCGGCGGCCTTGTTGTCTGTGCTGCTTGCGTTGAGCGCACCATCTCACGTCTCCCCCCTGTTCTTCTCCCAAGGTGGCTGAAAATCTGGGGCATGTGCCGGG